GTTGAAACTTTCATTCTTACGCTTTCAAGTGGATACGAGCGAGAATAAAGCGAAATGAACAAGAAATTAGTAGAAACGACACTCGTATGTTTTAAACGATCACTTGCTATTTTGGATCACTAGTTCTCAATTTCACTCTAAAACTAGTAAAAACAATATTTGAAACATCATATATGAGACATATTGAATAACTATATTTGCTATATTTTGTATGCCCTAAACCCTAATCCTGAACGACACCCATATGTTTAAAATAACCGCATGCCGTTTTGGGATTGAACAAACAGAGCTTTCAAAATTTATCCAAAAATCACAATTTAAAGAGTACATCAATATATCCATCAAGACTGTCTGTCCATCCATAAAAATTTATCAAAATAATCAAAATGTATCAAAATTATTACAATTTCTAGATTAAGGTCAACAAAAATAAGTCTCATTAGTCTGTCAACTAGTGTAAAGTATTTTTGCGATTAAGATGGTTATGACCCCTCTGACCACACATACTATATATATGTCCTTTTTTCTCCCCTTGTTAATAGAATCCTATGTCTTTCTAGACATCCAATCCACTTTGTCGTCTATTCGAAAGGATTGGCAACACATTAATTTGATTCATCATACAACACATGAAATATTTATTGATACAAAAATATTTATTACAGTGTCTTGATCATTCTCTATCCATTACCAAATCCATATACTTTGGTCACTCTTTTCAAATTCAATGAAATAAGAAATGATAATCATTGCACCAGAGTGTATATCTGCAATTCAACAAAAATATGTAATATATTAGTCCATTAATTGTCAAAAGTGAAGATTATAAAATACAGCTTCAATAATAAACAAACGACAACCCATATTATTATAGAGCAGATTTTAAGCCGGCATAAAATGGCATTCTATAATTTAAAATGTGTATGTCCCATTTAATTTTTTTTTAAAATATATTATTGTAAAAGAATGGAGGAATGACTAATCTGTAAACAACTACATCCACAGCACCGTTAACAATTTAAAATGAACTATGGAAAAAACGACAACCAAATACATAAATTTGTCAACATTTCGTTTTCATATTTCATGCTTAATTTTGCTTATGCAATTGATTTTTAATAATCTGGAGGTAGGAAATTAAAACAAAAAACAAAAATCTTGTCCATTTTCCAATTATAAAGCGTACCTTCAACTCTTTGGAATCGATTCTTACTTGCGCACTTCCAAAATTTGCTCTTTGATTTATTTTGGTGCAAATAAAGTTACTTTATATACGTAATTGCCAATTGCAATGAAGGATAATGCATGTGAAGAAGAAGAAAGTAGAGTCTGTTAGTAGGTTTAGTATATAGAAATGCGTTTAGAAATGTGAGAACGAAGGAAAACTTAGGAGGACTTATGTTTGGGAAATTTGATAAATTTTGATTTGAAATTGGACATTTTAGACAATTCAAATGAAGGGCATTTAAGACTTTTAACCAAGGATAAAATAGACTAAGCCCATGTTTGACAGCATTAATTGAGAAAAATAAAGTTTTGAATGGTATTTTTCAGGAGAATCTATGGTTAAAAAATAATAAAAATTTTGGATTTACATTCAGAATATTTTATTGTGCAAACGTATAATTAAAAATGAGTATGTAGAAAAAATAGTTTTCAAATAATAATTGTCAAACATGAGCTGAAGGCTATAGGTGGTTATATTTTTATCACAAATTTTATTTTATACGTCACATTTTAATTGTAATTATGCTCCACAATTTTTGCTCAATTTTTTCAATCAAATTCTTATTTTCAACCTTCCATTAATTAGTACGTTTTGTTCTTGATGATGATTTATATCAAAATATTTTATTTTCATAGTTTGCAAAGAGGAAAAAATAATTATTTTTTTTGCATTATTTATCTATTTATTTATTAAAAATATGATGAAAAATAAGTTTTATGACATTTCAACGAAATTTTCGACATATATATATTATCAATACAAAATGTGATAACAAATGGAAAATTTGAGAATAACAACTTGTTTGTGAGATATTAAAATCTGATTTTAATTTAAGTCAAAGTCAAACCATCAATATTAACCACATCTTTCAGGAGTCCCATAATTTTTCAATCACACATTTCAAAAACTTTTATCACAATCTACTAAAAAATCTAATTTTAATCCTTACCTAACACCCTCGATGAATGATATGAAAAATCATTAGAGACATAAGTGCTATAATGAGCAAAGATTAAGAACCTTAAGTGCAATTAAAATGTGGTACAAAAAATAAAAATTGTAGTGGATTATAATTACCAAAAGGCTATTTACCAAATATTATTGACTGTAGACCATTTTACCAAATATCATTATTGATTTGGCTTTTTAAACAAATTTTCTAATTTTTTGTTTAAATATAGGTCCACGTGCATAGTGGTCAGTATATTTTAACAATTTTAATTCAATTCTATCAAATTGCTTGCAGCATCTCCAATGATGTTGTAAATTGATATCTTCAAAATCATTATTGTATCCTCATTTACATTTCGATATATTTAAATTCAAATTTTGCTACAATAAAAATATCTAAATTCATTTTTTGCCTTTCTTGAATGTAAAAATAATAATAAAAAAAATGAAAACTTATATCATTTTATATATTTTCTGTCGAAAAATACAATTTGTACTTCCTATGCATCAATCCATCGATGAGGTGTTCGGCCACTTTGAAGATCTAAATTACAATTTAGATCTATTTACACCATAATTGCAGATAATCTTATTAAATATACTAGTCATTTGCCCAAGCATTGCACAAGTTGGGTTATTTTGAAAGTAATATTAGTATGTTAAATGTTTTGAATTTTCGTGAAGTACATCTCAATTCAATGTTTACTCGAACAGTCGAACTGATTTTCAACCATTCATCTCTGAATAATTTGTTAAAATCTTGTAAAAAAAAATAAATAAATAAAAGAAGCAGAAAATGAAGGCAAGTCACCAGCCTAAGCTAGGAGAAAAGGCTTCAAAAGACGCTTAGCATTCCCTGCAGTAGCAATCAGCTTAACTTGCAGTTGATGTTTGGGAGGCGTTGAAGGAGCTAGTTTCTTTGGCTCGATCTTTTTGAAAAAGCTACGACCAGTCCTTCATCCAACCCAAATACTCCAGAGTCGTCCTCCCACTTTCAACAACAGTAACTGTAAAACCACAATTTCAAATTGAGAACATTGAATTATTAACAGTACCAAACCTTTGCAGCTAAAAACCTTAACAAATCGCTCCATGATCTTCCTATCCACAATCGCCATTTTGATGGGCTCCCACGAACACATCTAGCTGCTTCCTTGGCGCATCTTGGCTCAAATAGATTTTCAAACGAAGAAAAGTTCACATCTTGTTATGTTTTGAAGCTGCTGAAGAGCTGGAAGCTGGTGGAGGTGGCTTTTGTGACAGTGGAAGAGGTGGTGGAAGAAATGGAGATGTTGCAATAATATGGTTTGTGTTGAGGAATAGTGAAATACAGAAGTGATGTGGAAAATAAACGTAAAAGTGAATATAAAGACTGGGTATTTGGCCTCTTTGTATAGTGAGATAACGAGAAACAAAATATATTTGGGAAGCTACCAATACTGAAAACCCAGTTCCTCAATCAACAATTGTGGCAAGAAAGAAATATTATCGTTTGTCCTTTTTTGCCCACGCACAAACTACTTTCTTTACAAGTGTTTAAGGGTAAAATAGGAAAACAATAGTTCTTAGTCCCTATTTGTTTCCCATTGTTTGGCCATTAAAATAAAAAAATATGACCGTTATAATCATCATATTAAACCACCATATTTGAATTTTCGTAACGATTATATTTTTCATTCTCATTTTTACATTAATGGGAACAAACGGGGCCTAATGAATGAGAAGTGCAGGATGGATTCTCTCTTTTAAGAGTAATGATTTATATATAGTTAGGTCTAGATTCTTGCTCTTCAATCAGGAGTTGGTCGAACTACATGCACATTTTGACGTTTGAGCGTAGATAAGTTGATGTCTGAGATGACACCGAGTGTTTTGGTATACTTTCCAAGAAATTCTTTATTAGTTAAATATGCAAGTTCTTTGATTTCAAGCTTGGATTTGTTCTTAAATCTATGTGGAAACGTTCTATAAACTCTACATTATCTTTAAATATTTTAAATCTATTCTCTTTTTCTTGCATGCTATTGTAAATGCGTCTTTGTTGAGCCATCCATTGCTTGTGTTTCAATGACATGCTATAATCTAAAAAAATATCGAGGATATTGCAATTCATGAAAATGATGCTCTTTTAGAAAGTGAATTTTTATTCAGACTTATCCCGTTTGGCCTCCATTATATTAAATTTTATTACATTTCATTTTTTTCTCTCCTATTTTTAATCACAATATATTTCACAAAATAATATTACACATAAATCGAAAATTTTTACTTCTTTTTCAACCACTCATTTTTTAGTGTTTTTCCGTCCATTTTTACTTCAAAAAATGGGGGCCAAACGGGGGCGATGAGTTCATAGGGAATCTGCAGCTTGTAATATATTTTGGGATAAAATCTTATAAATCATTTAAATTATATTCTTTTTACTCTTTCTTTCATTTCCTAAAAGAAATTATGAATGAATAAATAAATTTGGTTCTATTAAAAAAATGATTTTTTTTTTTTTTTGTTCTTCCATATCTTTATTTACATTTAATTTTTTTATGATCATAATTTATGCTAAGTTAAATAAAAAAATAAATAAAGTACACTTATCAAATATCAAAGACATAATAAAGTTAGAATTGAATAATTAAATTTCAAAGTTCAGAATTTTTGTTACATTTGCAATATTTGTTCATTGTTTAAAAAAAAAAAAAAAAAATTTGAAAAATATTATTGAGATTTAACCATTTGTGCAAAAAGGAAAAAATGAACATTTTTAAGTTAAAAGACACTTTATCTTATATAAGCTAAATTTGAGTTAAAAGACATCACTCATATCTGATAACATAAACTCCAAGTGAATGTTCTCTTTTCCCATAAAAATGTATGTAATTGTACATCACATAATTAATTACAGAGATAAAGACTGAAACATTTAACCAAAATAAAAGCCTTCAAAAACTTACACAGGCAACATGTACAATAAAATCAAATTGTTCTAAGAGATTCAGATAAAATCCAATGATCCTGCTACTATATATACTCTTCTCTTGAGATCTTCACCACTTGAAAGCCGCTTGCATCAATTGAGGGCATATAATTTAACACTAACAAAATGGTATAAAATCTTTCTTCAAACGTATGGATCTGGACCTTTCCCGGGGTCTTAATGTTACTTGAATTATAAGATAAATGCTTGATTTCTTTCTATGTTCCTGGCTTGATCCATGCAGAACAGCTAGCAACACAATGAGAATCAATTGGATTAACTCACCTGTTCTCCTATCAAATCAAGTCCAACAACTAGGAAAGTGATACCTTGAAACAAGAGGAAATAGAAGTGAATTCCCTGTGCGGATAACAAGCTTCTCATCGATGCAGTCAACAATATGAATGCAAGAGCAAGTTCCTTCCTGTATAGACGGTTTCTTCTTTTTTTCCTGGTCTTTTTGGTCATTTCTAGTTTGTTAAGCTCGGCAAGACCTGATTCGGAGGATGACCTGTGGACCCAGCCACTTTCCACCAAAGGCGCCGATTCATTTTCCACCATGGCGACTAAATCTGCTTCTGATGATCTACCCAATTTCTTGGTGACGATCCACTCATAAGAACTTCCCAACTGGAAGAGTCCTGATACCATGGCATTGAACTTGGTCACAGACATGGTGTTCTCGAAAAGAAGATAAGGCACGATAAATGGAAATGATCGAGGAGACGGAAGGATGTTCAGTATAGAGACAAGTCCTGGGATATAACAAACAACCCAAAAGGGCAGCTGAGCTTCTGGCAGGAACATGGTCAACGGAAGAATAATGCAGAAGAGAGTAAACGAATAAAATGGTAGTATAAGCTTCCGCAGGAGGAAGAAGAGAAATATCAGATTTGCTTTCTTCACCCAGCTCACCTGAAATGTTAAAAGTCTATAAAAGTAAAATGATAGCCTACAATCAATGCAATAACTTGGTAGAGTGCGGAAATTTTGAACTTGATAAGAAGAACTAGTGCATAATAAATAAATATATGCTTCATTCTGTGAGTGTTTTGAATTGGTTGTAACCTACAAAGCATTGACACTGACACGTGTGTCCGACATGACACGAGTCTACTACACCGACACGCGATTTTTCAAAAAAAAAAAAGTATTAACATGACACGTCGTCGACACGTTAATTAAATTCTTTAAAATTCTTCATTTATATAGTATAAATTTAGTTTTATATTCATTATTAATTATTCTTCTTGAAATTTTTTAAATATGAGTATATATTTGTTGTTTACTAATTACTTTGAATTAAAAATATATAATATTTCAAATAAAAAAAATATCATGGTAAAGTGTTCGAGGAGTATCGGTATCCGACCAGTGTCAAACAAGAAACACGCCACCCTAGTTGAAATGTCTGTGCAACAGAGGTAGTATGAGGATATTGATAATCATTGGATTATAGAAATTCTTCACGGATAAAGAAAGATTTACTTAAACTAATTCATGCTTATGAGCAGTCAAGCACTTCTAAAACACCTAATATGTGTGGGTGAAATATGATGTAGAAATCTGTGGGTAATATGTGAAGGAGATGGGGGACTCAGACCCTCCACTATGAAAGAAACAGGAAAGGGACAGGGACAGGGATCAGAGCTCGTGTGAAGTGCCTCAAAAAACATGGGAAATGATGCAATCTCTTTTAGAGATATACTTTATTTTCTGTACTGACAAAAATTTAAACTAGAACACAAATGCTAGTCACATGTACTGTTCAGATGCTTAATCTCAAGTGCAAGAGCTGTGTCGAAAACTACACTCTATTTTTTGAAATCAAATTTACCATTTTTTCATCTTCATGATTGGCAGAATATTTTCTTTCCCATGAAAATAAAGTTAAAGAACTCGCTTTTCCCTGTCTTTTTCCATATTGATTACACCTATGAATTCAGTACCTACTACAAAGCTGAATACCTTGTTGTTTAGTCTAATTTTCATTTCACCCATGCATGCTACAAATTCACTTTAGGCTAGAAAACTGACTGAAAAAGTAGATAGTTGGACTCACCAACCTTCGAGCGTAGTATGTCAACAAAGCACAAGCGGAACAACTGCATGGGTCCTGAGTGCCAGCGGTGTTGCTGTTTTTTGTATGCCTCGTAAGATTCAGGTAGTTCACATAAACACTGCACAAGATGAAAAAGAACTGAACAACCATATGGCACAAGTATTATGTGTTAAGGACAGCAAAATTCTAAATAGCTGACAAACCTTGACATCATTCAGATAGATAAATTTCCAACCATAAAGGTGAGCACGGACAGCAATATCCATGTCTTCAACGGTTGTTCGCTCCAACCAGCCACCGCAGTCCTCCAGGGCTTTGATTCTCCACACACCAGCAGTTCCATTAAAACCAAAGAAGTTGATGAACCACCCATTGACTTGTTGCTCGACCTCAAAATGGAAAGCCAGATTTATGTTCTGCAACCTTGTCAGCAAATTCTCGTCCTTGTTGACGAAACTCCACCTGGTTTGAACCAGGGCAAGATCATCTTTTCCCTTCAAAATACAAGAAACAATTTGTTCCTTCCACAATATTTACATCATCCTAATTATTATTTAGCCTCCGTTAGGTAAAATTTATAAATCATTTATAAATGGCCAAACTTCATTTTCAACCACTTATTTCAAAGACTTCCGAGTATTATCCACTTATCCACCACTCCTTTCTATCTATTCATAAATTGGATCTTTATAAATTCTTCCCAAACTGAGGCTTATAAAGCTCGGATGATTTAGACAGTTATGTATATAGAAAAGTGTTTCAGCCATGTCCAGATCCTTCCGACGTGAGGCTCCATATGTCAACGACATGGGAAACATGGTTGTTTGAAGCATAATTTGTCATTATTCATATTCAACCTAAACAAGGTGAATGAAAAGCAAGTACCCACTTTACAAGACACTTTCCCACAGTTATTGGTTTTGGCCATCTTTCCCCATATATTATACTCTTTTTGGTTTAAAAATTGCAGCTTTTCTTTACTTAAGGACACTATGCAGCCTTACACTCATCACTCCAGCAGGTCTCAAGTTTTAAGCTGGACTCAAGGTGTTAATAAAACTACATTACGCCTTAGGCCAAAGAGCAACATCATGTATTAGTCATCTCAGCCTTAGCATTCGGACTTTGGCACTACAGCCTAGTAATTGACTCTTATAGCTGGTATGGGAGTTACCCTGTGCTAAACAAAGACTGAAAGAAAATGTGCAGAAACTTCCAATGTCAATTAAAAAGATGAAAAAATGAAAAATATGCGCTTATAAAAGGATCTCTACAGTCCATGTATCAACGTATAAATCAATTTTATTTTTTAAGAAAAATTACGTTCTTGATCACTTAAAATGTGTTATCTAGATTACCTTAAAATAAGGAATAGTTTTCTTCAGAAAATCTGAAGCGGGCTGGAAATCCGCATCAAATATTGCGACAAACTCATAATCTTTGACATAATCACGATGCATTGCAGACTTAAGATTCCCTGCCTTATAGCCTGTGCGAACAAGACGATGTATGTATATGATGTGCACACCCTTTTGTTGCCATTTATGCACTTCTGCCTTAATGAGAGCCTGAACATCTGTATCATCAGAATCATCCAGTATTTGTACAAGCATTCTCTCCCTAGGCCAATCTTGAATACATACTGCTGCAATAGATTGTTGATATACCTGAGCACCATTGTACAAAGAACTCAAAATCACAATAGATGGAACTACTTCAATATTGTAAAAACGGAGATATGCTATCTGAAGTCAATGACTGATTGATTTCATTTTTCACTTAGTGTCTCCAGATAGAAAAATTATCCTGAGGAGAGGATACTTCCACTTAAAATGACATTGAGACACTCTTTCGAGCCAGACACAGAGTTCGATAAAGATAGTTTAAACTTACATCATTAAATTATGTAAATAGATATTAGTTACCATAAGTTAACATATAGTAACTTTTTATATTAATAGAGTTTTATTTACATCACTAAATTATGTTTCAGTATGAACAATAGCAATAATCTTAAATAAAAAATTCAATTGGTTCTATGTTTATAAATATGAATGTATCAAGAAAGCGTAATCATGTCTAAGTGCACTCATTCTCTAATGGAACAGAAATGTTATAAAAACAGTCTGTTGAATGAAGTTTTTCTATGAGAGATGGATAGCCTCAACCTAATATGACATCATGAGCTTCATAGGCTTCCAGTCATCAATAGCAAACAGAGTTTGCTAATAATTATGACATTTCTCAACCTCTTTTTTTATATTGTTTACCATGCTCTTCCTCAGGCTTATATGAATTTGATTCTTCATTGTCCTTTTATTCACACATTTCAACCAAGCACCACAACATGATGATTCCAGATAAACCCTTGTTTTCAAAAAGTTCTCTTCTTGTGGGGAGTGTAAGATTTAGGCAATAAAGATAATAATATTTACGAAAAAGATCAACATGATGATTAAAAAAAAAAAATTATGAGACAATACTTTTGCAAGTGAATAGTACTTCAAGGATATACCATTACAGAACTTAACTTGAAAAGATAAATGTGAAACCAACGAATTTGTTTGTCCATGCTAATCATCTGATACCTTGATAGTGTCTTTGGCAATTTTAATATGAAGGTGTTTTCATTCAAGGTTTAGAATACTGTCATGGAAGATCTGGAGCCCATAGACGTTAAAAATAAATAAATAATAAATAATAAAAAGCTATTTTGTTTATAATAAATGGCATTTATGATTGTTTTTCCAACTAAGGACTTTAGCTCAATTAGAACAAGTGACATTTTGAATTTAATATTTTGTGGCAAAGCTAATTGTATGAACAATAAAAACTTTAATTAATGATAGTAATGCAGGGAAAAAGACATAACACTTTCCTCTGAACATATATGCATCTTGTGTGAAAAAAATGTCTATTAATTGAATTTCATCATAAATGGTATTGTTTGCTCAAGAAGGGTAAATATGTTACTAGTACACAAAATAGTGACCAACAATTCACCATGTCTAGAGCAAAGGTTAAAACATTCTCAAGGTCACATATCAAGTTGTGTTGTTTGAATTGTTTTGAGCATGTTGCACAATTACAGTCAGTCTCATCAAAGAAGTAAAGAAATGATGAATGTGTTTCATATAGAATAGTTAAGACTACATGGACTTAAATATTGAGACAAAGTTAGTGAGAGGAAATTTAAAGACATGAAGTGGATGGCTTGTGGTAACAATTCTTCGAGTTCAGAAGTTGCAAGAATATCCTATTCTTTCCTCATAACAGGTCCTTTCATTTGGCTTTCAAAGCTGAGGACCGAAAGAAATTGAAGTTACGGAAAAATGAGCAACTCTTTGTTCATTTTGAGGATATTTATAACCAATCAACCAACTAATAAATGTGCTATAGGAAGCTGAACGAGGGCTCAAGCTAAGAAGCAACTTAACATTAGGATGCGTATTTGCACTAGCAAACAATAGTTTACTCTAAGTATCCACCTAAAACAAAACTTAATATCTACACCATCATATGCTTTAGTACATTCACTTCAATCAATATTCATTGTAGTAAATAAAATAACGTGAAAATTAGTAAAAAGATAAATCTCCTTGGGGATTTTGAAAACGTGCATCTTCTTACCTCCCTCTCATTGCACATTGGTATTTGCACCATCACCATTGGATAATCCTCCAAATTCACGCCCCCATTTTCGGCATCTTCCATGAACTCCATCTCCGCTTCTGGTCTCAGTCCTCTAAACTTGATATAAAAACACCCCAGCACCAATACTAACCGATCCACCGATTGTATCATGAACAACACGATGCACGCATTTGTCAAGCTCTGCAATGGCGGTGCCAGGTAATTCGCCCTTATTCTTAACCATTTGGCATAGATATACTCAACTAAGTCCTCAACCTCCGATTCCAGAGTCGGAGGACTAAAATGCCAGCCTTTAAAGTAGGCAATGAGCTCGAAAACCAACAAAACAATACTCATCAACAAGAAAAGCTTAATGATCTTATAAAACCTCGATTCAGACCGATAAGAACTGGAGGAGCTGGACGAGACACGGCGCTTCGCGGTGCGAATGAGGGTAATAAATCCATTGGTTATAAAGGCCAAGAAATGTGCGATTTGATGGACCTTAAGGAGGTAAATCCATGAAAGCTGGCGGGCACTGCGTGTCCGGTCCTTCTCCGACACCGAAGCCGCTGCCGCCGTGGAGGCGCTGCGTATATCAACCGTCAAAACACTGGAAGTTTCCGATGAAGATAATAGCTCGTTGTGGTCGCTTGCTCTTTGCTTGTTCCACCATTCTTGAAATTCATAGTTTGGTGAAGGAGACATATGTAAATGGGTATGGATATAGATACACAAAGGGAAGTGTATGTATAGATTGGATCTGTGTAATTTTCTGTATCAATGGCGGATCATTGCAGTGCAATGGGATCCGGGGAATGGGGGAGAGTTGGAACTTGAGACGAAGCTAAATTTGGGAGATGTATTCAATTGGGATTTTAAAAATTTTGATAGATTATTTTTTTAAATTGTGATTTTTATGGATTTTGTGTATTTTTTATAAATTTGTACGAAATTAGTGGAAGTTTTTTTTTAGATTTGTATGGATTTTCATTTTAAAATTTTTATAGATTTTTGTGAAATTCAAGAGATTTTTGAAGTTTTTTATTTTAAAATAGAATTTATGTGAATTTGGTATTAAATTCTTACACATGAGGTGCTAGTTTTCACAGTTCTCTTTTTCCTTTTCCTTTTTCTTCCCATATAATAAAAAAAATTAGAAAATAAAAATTTAAGACTTTAATTAAATAAATAATAATCAAAATTATGTATGTGTAATAGTATACTATTAAAATAAATAAAAATCAATATATTTAAATTTAATTATAAATCTTCCATATAAGATTTTATAGTTTAATAAAAAAAAGATATTTTTCAAAAAAAAAAGAACGAAAAAAAAACTGCTAGAGTCCAATTTAATTTTTCATAGAAAATATAAATAAATAATAAGAGAGAACGAAAAATAAATGAAATATAATTAATAGAAAAAAATTTGAATTATATATGTCCATGTAAAGTTAAAGGAAAGAAAGATTGAAATGTTATTTTATTTTATTTTATTTTATTGTGAAAATCTCCCAAAATCTCGTAATTAATGAACAACAAATTTTAAGGTTGTATATGAATACTTTCTGCTTAAAAGTTAGTATTTCAGAGACTTTTGTAAAAGTCTCTAAAAATCATTAAAATTTGAATACATCAGATTTATAGAAACTTTTAAAAAGTTTTAATTGAATACACCGTAATTTTTAGAGATTTTTTAAAAAATTTATAAAAATTTTAATTGAATACACCATGACTTTTAGAGAGTTTCTAAAACTCTCAATTGAATACACCTCTCTTAGAAGTCAAGAAGAGGGTTTTTTAATCCATTTTTTGTTATTTTCCTCTGTTTTTATAGTGTTTTATGAGCATGTTTGGATAAACCTAAAAAATATATAATGACTTTTAATTTTTCATTTTAATAATACTCACTTTTTCCTTGTTTTTAAATAAAAAATTTTAATTTTATAAAGAGTAATGTTACACTGAACCCATTTATGTGGCAATAGTTAGATTATTAGAATTAGAGCAATGCTAAAGGTACACAATTGTTGTATATAGAGGTGTCCACACATGAGGTGGAGCCTGAGCAAGGTCAGCCCTACCTCATGTGACGGGTGCGGATACTCATATGTACAAATATAGATATAAGTTATAATGAATGTTTATTAATGAGAATTGTTCCACTTCCCCTTAGATAGTCATAGGCATAATTTTTAAAAAAATAAGTCTAACTTATTATGAATTATAAGTAATTTATTTATATCTTTAATTATTTAAATTAGAAAAATGATCTACTAATAATTTTTGTTTAGTTTATGTTAAACAACGATAATAAAATATCAATTAATCGGCAAATCATTTAATAGCCATTTTATATTCATTTATACACAATATTTTATTGAATTCTATTAAAATTCATTAAAATCTATGTGTGTCAACTGAGATTTTAATCAATTTCATAAAAATTCATTAAAAAATCGATGTCATCAATAACATGTAATTGTAAAGAGATTCCAAGGAATTTAGATGGATTTCTAGTTCAAAAATACACAAAACAAACTCTTTTAAAATTTCATATTTTATTAATGAGATTCTTATACATTCTGACAAAATTTATTCATATTTACAAAATATGAATCACTCGTATATGATGGAAATCAAATTTTGTCCTATCTTTTATTAGAGATTACTCTGTGAAGAATACGAATCGGAGTTTTAAAATCTTTTAGAATCCATTAAAATTCTAATAGAAGACGCTCCCCTTAGTTTGTGGAATTTATTATAAATTTGTTCATCAATTAATTAATATGTCATGTTATTTTCGCTTAGCGTAAATTAAATATTGGTACTCAAGTAGATATTTAAACTATTATTATATTGTAAATTCACTTATTTACTTATAAGTAATTTGTTTAAACATTTAGCCAAACATTTTGATACTGTGTTCTTGTCCAATCAGCAAGTAATCTTATTTCTGGCATGTGGAAACAGCTCATGTGGTGGTAGCCCGAGAATTTTTCACGCGCCTTTCATCAGGTGTTAAATTCCACTTGCTCCAGCAGCATGTTTTGTACATAACAATATTAAACCCTTTTTGGTATAAAAATTTTAATCTCAAGTCAAAGTCGGTAATTGATTTAAGGGATAATTGCAATTGAGGTTCCAAACTTGCAAATAGTAATAGACTTTTTACTAACCTTTCAATTGTTGTAGTCGTCGCTCCAAATCTTTCAAATTATAATAGAAGAGGACCCAATGGACGATTTCCATACAATATATCGCTAGTTGACTCAAAAAATAAACTTTGACCATATATTTCTCAATTTAAAAGGGAAAAATAGTAATTTAATATATTTTTCCATAAACTAATTAAAAACTTAAATAAAATAAAAAAAAGGAAAGAGAAGGAAAGGAAAAGCAAAAGCTATCATCTTCTCTCTCACCTCACCTTCCCTCAACCCCACCCCCAATCCCTTAACCCAAAATCAGAAATCTGCCATACCATTGCCATCGACCATCACCACCGTGTCCTTCGACCACCACTGCTACCACCGCCACCATATAAGGAATAACTTCAAGCTTGTCCTCAAACCACAATCTTTTTTTGCTTGTAGTTTTATATTATTACATTTGCATCTCTCTCTTAAACTCTCTTGACCGAATGGAAGTTTCAGATTTTGAACACAAACTCCCTCTAGACAACTTCAATTGCTGTTGGAGCATCAAGACCTTGGGGGTGCTGCTACTAATCTGATTTGTCTCATGTAAGAACCTGTGGGCTTATGGGCTGGTTTGTCTTCCAGATATTGGGTCAGTCTGTCTTCCTATTAATTCCTTTAAGTATTGTATTGGGTCATTAGTTAATAAAGTCCAATGGGTTATGCTTAACCCAGTCCAGTAGTAGGAATAAATGCCAGAGTTGACTGAGTCCACAGTCATGTCCGAGTCTTTAGGAAGAGTCTGTAGTGCAGTAGTCATGTTCCTTATTTTTCTGAAGTAGAGTCTGTTAGAGGAAGACGTGGGGAACTGGAAGTTGTGGTCATTTGTTTTGTATTTAACCTTGAAGATATATGAAAAAAGCATCTATCTAGCAAGTTGCACCATCACAGGTGTTTGGAGGTGAATCCCTTCGAAGTGATTCAGCATTCATTGTTCTTTTTCACTCATATATCAAGTTGATTCCTAACATTTTGGTATCAGAGCCAGGTTGTCCTTTAATGGAGACCAGGAATATGCAATTGGAGAAGGCAATTGCCAACCTAAAGGAGTCTCAGGTGGCGCAACAGGAAGCTACTGAACAGAGGTTCTTGCAATTTCGAGCAGAGCACCAACAGACCATGGAGGCTTTAACCCAACAGATGCAGACACTCTCCAGTCATATGGCCACTCTTGTGAAGTAGCAAGGCAAAAAAGTAGAAGAACCAGAACCCATAAACAGTGCACGTCAACAAGTAAATTCGAATCCCATAGCCCACATTCAACCCGTTGAAGATTTGGGAGGTATTCAAGTCCGCTCTGCCAGACTGGATTTTCCTCGTTTTAATGGAGAGGATCCTAAGAGTTGTATCTATAGGGCAAATCAGTTTTTTGCCCACAACCAAACTAACCCTCTACATAGGTTGGTTCTGGCTTCATTCCACATGGAAGGGAAGGCTCTTTCTTGGTATCAAGATTTAGAAGCTACGGGTGGGATAACTAGTTGGGAGGGATTCTTAACTTCCCTTCAAACTAGATTTGGCCCATCTGCATTTGAAGACCCTATGGCAGACCTAACACGGTTGAAGCAAACGTCTACAGTAGAAGCCTACAAGTCAGAATTTGAAGTGATTTCCAACCAGCTACGTGGGTTGGCTGAGCCTTATAAACTAAGCTGTTTTATAAGTGGCCTACGAGAAGAGATAAGGTACCAGGTGAGAATGCTAAACCCTACAACTCTAAATTCTGCATATGGACTGGCTACAATGCAAGAAGAAAATGTGGCTGCACTCAAAAGGGCTTCTAGAGCCCTTTCAAGTCCCAATCGTGCTACTTATAGCCCACCTTCAACTCAAGGGGCTACAATTGGGGACCGTCGATCAGTTGTTTCAATTCCAAGGCTCACACATGCTCAAATAAAGGAGAAAAGAGAGAATGGCCTTTGCTTTAGTTGTGATGAAAAATGGGGCCTAGGACATAAGTGCAAAACAGGGAGGGTGATGCTCATGGAATTGGGAGAGGAAGAACCTGAGGAAAATCGACCCATTACTCACAATAGGCATCGGTTACTAACCAACTCTTCTCAAGAGATGGTGGAAAGGTCCACATTAATGGGTGGTACTAGTGAAGGTTCAGAAGTTCACTTGGAGGAGCAATTGGTGGAACCAGAAATTTCAATTCACGCTATCTTGGGATCTCCAAATCCCGAGACTATACGGATGAAAGGCCAAATATTGGGGCTGAAGTGGTGGTATTAATTGATACTGGCAGCACCCACAATTTTGTGGATCCAGCCATTCCCAAAAGGGCCCATGTGCAGATAGAAACTTCTAAGGGGCTGTTGGTTAAAGTGGCCAATGGAGATGCTGTTTACAATTCTGGAAAGTGTTCTGATCTGCCCTTGAAGATGCAGGGTAAAATCTACATAGCAGATTTTTACATGCTTACCTTGGGCGGTTGTGATGCAGTCTTGGGAGTTCAATGGATGCGCACTGTGGGGCCAATCCTTTTAGATTTTAACAAGCTCAGAATAGAGTTCAAGTTAGGAGACCAACAACATTGCCTGCAAGGTATTCCTCCCTCTGGTAACACATTAATTAAGGGTACTAAGTTTGGTAGAGCTAACATGATCAAATCTAAGGGAATAGTAATACAGCTAATGGATAATTTGGAAATGCCTTTTTATTCTATTGAGTCTATTCCATGTCCAGAAATCCAGGCCCTACTCCAACAGTTTTCCAAAGTGTTCGAGGAACCGAAGGGATTACCTCCCTCTAGAACCCAAGATCACCATATTATGCTAAAAGATGAAGCTAAACCAGTTTGTGTCCGACCTTATAGATACCCCTACTTCCAAAAGGCTGAAATAGAAAAATTAGTTAATGAATTGCTCAAAAATGGTCTTATCCGCCCAAGTCAGAGCCCTTTTTCATCCCCTGTCCTCTTAGTTAGGAAATCTGATGGGAGTTGGAGGCTTTGTATTGACTATAGGTCACTCAATGCTGAGACAATTAAAGCTAAATTTTCTATTCCTATAGTTGATGAACTCCTAGATGAGTTACATGGTGCCACAATCTTTTCTAAGTTAGACCTAAGGTCCGGATATCATCAAATTTGGGTGGCTGAAAATGACATTTCAAAAACTGCCTTTAGGACTCATGAAGGCCATTACGAATTTTTGGTTATGCCCTTTGGACTAACTAATGTCCCTTCCACCTTTCAAAGTCTCGTGAATGACATATTTAAACCATTCCTTAGAAAGTTTTACTTGTATTCTTTGATGATACACTCATATACAGCAAGAACATGACGGAACATCTATTCCACCTCAAGTCTGTCCTAGAAACTCTTCAACAGCACCAGTTATTCGCTAAAATGTCCAAATGTAAATTCTGTTGTCCAGAAATTGATTACCTAGGCCATATCATCTCTATAGAAGAGGTAAGGCCGGATCCTAGCAAGTTGGAAGCCATGCTTAATTGGCCATTCCCAACATCCATAAAATCTTTAAGAGGGTTCTTAGGCCTTACTGGCTACTACAGGAAATTTATTAAAGGTTATGGCCAAATAGCTGTCCCTCTCACAGCCATTCTAAAGAAAAATTCCTTCCATTAGACTGATAGTGCTAAAGAGGCATTTTTAAATTTAAAGCAAGCAATAACTAGTCCCCCTGTGTTGGCTCTCCCTAACTTTGATTTACCCTTTATGATTCAATGTGATGCTAGTGGACAGGGTATAGGGGCGGTTTTGATGCAACAAGGGAGGCCATTAGCATTCATGAGTCATACAATCAAAGGGAAGGCACTACAGCTCTCTACCTATGAAAAGGAGCTCATGGCAGTGGTATTGGCAGTAAAAAAGTGGCGGCCCTACCTGTTTGGTCACTTATTCACTGTACAAACTGACCAGCAGAGCTTGAAATACCTTTTGGAGCAGAGGATAGGTACACCACAGCAACAAAAATGGCTTACCAAGCTGTTGGGTTATGATATGAAGGTAGAGTACAAGCCAGGAAGAGAAAACAAGGTTGCTGATGCCTTATCTAGAAGGGAAATAGAAAATAATGAGGGCCAGTTACTTGCTATAACCTCTCCTCAGTTAACATGGATGGAAGATTTGAAGAAAAGCTATGAAGACGACCCTACTTTACAGTTGAAGTTGCAACAATTCAGGGAAGGAAAACTGGATTCTAACTTGTACTCTCTAAGGAATGGGTTACTGATATATAAAGGCAGAATCTATGCAGGTTCTAATCCTACAATTAAGGATCAGATAAAGTACTACGTTCATAACATCCCTATGGGAGGACACTCGGGCTATCTAAAGACACTAAAAAGGGCAAGGGCAGAGTTCATTTGGCCAGGCATGCAAAAAGAATTGAAGCAGTATGTGAAAGAGTGTGACACATGCCAAAGAAATAAAACCGAGATTGTTTTACCAGCTGGACTTCTTCAACCGCTACCAATTCCTACCCAGGTATGGACTGATATATCCATGGATTTTATCGATGGACTTCCTCATTCTAACGGCCATACAACTATCTTGGTAGTGGTTAATCGCCTATCAAAATATGCCCACTTTATTTCTCTAGCCCACCCATATACTGCAGCCAAAATCGCCCATATATTCTTATCCCATATCTTTAAACTTCATGGCATGCCAAGTTCCATAGTTACAGATAGGGACAAAACATTCACATCTATGTTCTGGAAGGAGCTATTCAAATTACAAGGGACTAAACTTTGTTTTAGCTCAGCTTACCATCCTCAATCTGATGGTCAAACTGAGATTGTAAACAAATGCTTAGAACAGTATATCTACGATGCTTCTCAGAAGACAAGCCAGGAGAATGGGCTAAGTGGCTACCGTTGACTGAATGGTGGTATAACACAAACTACCACATGGCTACGAAATTGACTCCCTTTTGAATCTGTATATGGCTACCCACCGCCTAAGTTGCATGCATACACAGCAGGGACCACTAGTTTACAGGCTGTGGAAGATTCCTTGCTTGGCCGAGATAAACTACTCCAGCTCCTTCGCCAGAACTTGGTAGCGGCTCAGAACCGCATGAAGAAATTTAGCGACTTAAAGCGTTCTGACCGTCAATTTGAAAAAGGAGATCATGTTTTCCTTCACCTTCAACCATATCGGCAACACTCTGTCACAACTCGCAAGAATCAGAAACTCAGTCCTAGATTTTATGGGCCATATAAAATTGAAGAAAAGATTGGAGAGGCTGCTTACCGATTAGCTCTTCCACCAGAATCCTTGATTCACCCCGTATTTCATGTGTCATGTTTGAAAAAGCAGCTGGGCGAATCACATGCACGAGCTCCATCCGTGCCACCAATGTCTAATGAAGGGTCAGTGAGGCCAGAGCCAGAACAAATCCTCAAGCAGAGGACAATTCAGAAGCGAAATAGAGTGGAAGAAGAAGTTTTAGTTCGTTGGAAAGGACTAACAGTTGAAGATGATTCTTGGGAAAAGCTCCGTGACTTACACTTCCATTTTCCCAACCTTGCGGGCAAGGTTTTTTAAGGGGTGGGGAATGTAAGAACCTGTGGGCTTATGGGCTGGTTTGTCTTCCAGTTATTGGGTCAGTCTGTCTTCCTATTAATTCCTTTAAGTATTGTATTGGGTCATTAGTTAATGAAGTCCAATGGGTTATGCTTAACCCAGTCCAGTAGTAGGAATAAATGCTAGAGTTGGCTGAGTCCACAGTCATGTCCGAGTCTTTAGGAAGAGTCTGTAGTGCAGTAGTCATGTTCCTTATTTTTCTGAAGTAGAGTCTGTTAGAGGAAGACGTGGGGAACTGGAAGTTGTGGTCATTTGTTTTGTATTTAACCTTGAAGATATATGAAAAAAAGCATCTATCTGGCAAGTTGCACCATCACAGGTGTTTGGAGGTGAATCCCCTCAAAGTGATTCAGCATTCATTGTTCTTTTTCACTCATAGATCAAGTTGATTCCTAACATCTCAGCTTTAAAACCAACTCCACTGACTGGCCTTCAAATTGGCTAAGCAAAGTCAACGACGACTTGTGGTCGTCTCAAGCCGCTATAAAGGACACATCCCAAGTGAAACTGGAGTTCGAAGATGGAATAGACAACAACATTTGGTCAAGAAAATCATCATGCGACGACGTCGGATCGAAGTGGGATGACGTCTGGGGTTGACCATTTTGATGATTATTCATTTTTTGGACTGATAGTTCTTGGTTTAACAAGGAATTGGTGTTCGTGGCTTCCAATTCCCTACAGCCAACCGAATCTATAGATGTCTTGATATGTAGAGGGAGAGTTGAGGGTGGTCGATTTTGAATTGGGTGGAGTTGAGTGTGGAGGATTTCAATGACCTGATTTGGTTATATTCATGGCAGTGGTGGCCAATGGTGATAGTGGTCGATGGCGGTAGGCGTGACGATGGCAAATTTCTAGTTTTGGGTTGAGGGGTAGATGAAGAAGATAGTCTTTCCTTTTTTTCTTGTTCTTTTTTCCTTCTTTTTATTTTTATTTTTTGTTTTTGTTTTTGTTTTTTATTTAAGTTTTTTATTTTTTTCTGGGAAAATATTAAATTACTATTTTGCCGATTAAAATTGAGTAAAATGTGGTCGAAATTATTTTTTTGGTCATGTAACAACAAATTGGATGGAAACCGTGCATTGGAGCCTCAACTATTACGATTTGAAAGGTTTGGAGTTATGGCTACAGCAATTGAAGTGTTAGAAAAGAGTCTACCATTGTTTGAAAGGTTTGGGACCTCAAGTGCAATTATCCCTTCATTTAATTATATATTTCATGAAATTCATAACTTAAATTCATAACTTGTTAACTATATGTTTAAATAACTTTTATCAAAATCTACTAATAATATAATTTTAAATTACACCAAACGGAGGCTAAAGGGTAAAAAAAATGAAAATCTCATTTGTTTATTACATTGTATAACATAATATATTGTTCTTATGATCAATACGACGTTTACAATTATAGGTGGGATTGATCTTACTCTTCATTAACATTACATCCCTATTTGGTGTGGATTAAATCCTTGACAAAAAATTAAATCAAAGTTAACAATTAATTTTAATTAAATATTTCATGAAATTCACAATTTTTCAGCCACACATTTCATCAATTTATATCAAAATTTACTAAAAATATTATTTTTGGCTACACCAAACAGTGGCATAGTTTAAGGATTATGCATATACTTGGGAATGTGTTTATAAATACTAATAAAAATAAAATTTGTCAAATTGCTTTTTATCCACAATCTGCAAGTACACTTCTTCATCATTCATTTTTATTTATTTATAATCAGCTCCTCGGACATATACTAAATTGAAGTTAGATGAACAAAGAATATGTTAATTGTCAATTAAAGTCATATGAATCGAGAATATACCTAATTTGAATCTTTTATTGCGCATACATACATTGTATATCATTTTTATGGGCCGAAATGTAAAGCACCCAATATGTCAACGTATCATATTTTAAAGTCACAAACCACAATAAGAATTAAATTAATTGTATGTTTTTGGTCTTTAAAGTTTAAATAAATCAATTCGATCCAACCGATTTTGATCGTTAACATGAAAGTGATCAATAATCCACGAAAATAAAAAGAATACTATTCGCTTATTGTGATCGAAACTTTTCGAAACCTCCCCCTTGAAAAAGAAAAACGTTCAATCCGTCTGATTAAATTGATTTTTTCTTGAGAAATTTTAAGTTTTGCCAAACAAGAATAAAACATGTGAGGCGTGTCACATTGGGAGCCACTAGACGTACAGAAATTTTTTTTACAAATCCTTTACAGAATACATACAGCGTGGAGTGGGTGAATAATTTTTTGGATTATTTTACTCACATGGAATCCACTCTCATGTGAGTATCTCGAATTCTTCTGTGATGAAAAATTCTGTACACACGTAATTTTCCGTGTCACATTGCGAACGTGTGTTTGGACTTTTGCTGGAACAATGTATTGGGCCATAATCATTGGCTTTTTATCTATTTGGAACCTTTTTTGTCATTGTGTCTCAATGTTACTTTCAAAGCCCGATATAAGATTACTTATTAGTCCCTAATCATACAATTTACTGATCGACCAAGATAACAAACTCAATTATGCACTCGTTTGGCGGGATTTAAAATTATTTTTTTAACAAATTTTAAAAAATTGATGAAATTTGTAATTAAAAAGTTGAGGATCCCATGAAATATATGATTAAAATTAATTGTTGATTTTAATTTTAATTTAAATTCTTACTGGGACTATATAATATATTAGACAGTTTACTATGTTTAATTCAAAATTAAATTACGAAAATCTTATTTAGTCCTTGTTTGATGAAAATCAAAATTTGAGTAATTTTAATGAATGCTTATTGAACTTTATTTTATATAATTATTTGCTCATTGAACAATAAATTATAACTCGTTACTCGTCCATCTATCTAACATCTTATCTATCCAAGTAGGGTTGTCAATGAATCGGATATGGAGCAGATCTGTCCAAATTCGATCCGATAATCCAACGAATATTTGATTGTTAAATCCATATCCGATTTGCTATGTTATTGGATATCCGATACGATAATCTTATCCGAATTTTTTTCCACCAATTTTTTCCAAAAAAATATATTTTAACTATCTTGATGGGCTCACCTAATATACTATAAGGCCCAAATCAATTTTTTATCCAAGTGATGCTCCTTTAGTTCTTTTTAAAGAAGATTTCTCTTGGAATGTTTTAATAATCTTCCTATGTGGGATACTACATTTTTAAAGGGTACTTCTCTTCTAATATTTTAGTGGTCTTTCAATGTGAGATACTACTCAATTGTCAATTCTAAGTGTTTACTAATTTATTTTATTATTTTCATTAAAAATCATAGCCTTAACAAAATTAAAATAAAAAAGAATATCAATTTTAACAAAGTAAATTATTTTTGGACATATTAATTATTAGTTTTTGATGTTATAAAACAAATTACTATAGATATTTTTATCTTATTTTAATTAATAAAAAATTAAACATCTTTGAATGTTTCAAGGAAAAATATTATACTATTATCTAATATTATTTATTATTCGAAAATTATGCGTAAAGCATAATATAAGTTTCAAAATGGAAAAAATTATGTTTAATAAATTATGATATAATATATAAAATATATATTATTATTATAATAAATCGGATCAGATCGACATATATCTATATTAGCTCTATTTAGTTAACGGATTATCGAATTCGGATCTTAATCGGATTATCGGATTGAAACTTTAAATCCATCTCCCATTAATTTCATCGAATTCGGATCAAAATTCAATCTATTGACAGCCCTATATCCAACACCTGTATTATCTGCGCTATAAGGGTGATTAGCAAAAAAGTCCCTAACGTTTACATGTATTGCTAAAATAGTCCCTATCGTTTTAAATTTGACATTTGCACCCTCATTTCAAATTTTTCTTGCAAAATTGGTTCTTTCCATCACTTTCCGTTAATTTCACCATTAAATAAATGCATGAAATTCACTTACATTATTTGAAAAGGGTAAATTAGTCAAGTCACTATAATTTTATGGGGGGGGGGGGGGGGAGTTCTTGTAGTTTGCATAGAGTTATACAGTGGCCAACAAAATCCCCAAATTGAGTAAACCACATCAAACCTCACTTTTCCAAAATCTTCCAAAAGGAAGAAGCAGCCCTTCGAACCCATTATACTACCATCTTCCCTCTGCCATCCCAACACTAGCAACTGCAATGTTGACATCGCTAAATTTTATTTTCAAATTTTGAAATGGATAGTGGTTTTCATAAATCAATTTTACTTTGGCAACCCACTCCATGACAAGGCTTGCTACCCAACCAATGATCACAACATACATTTTATCACTTGAAGTTCCCCTTTTGTTCATGTTAATTTATTTTGTACTTTTCCATCTGGAAATGTGTACAGATTTGGATATGTAATTTATTTATACAACCCATTCAATGATGGCATTTGATGACATTGGAAAAGCTATTTTTTGTTTCAAATACAATTTTAACCTCTTATCCTATTTCAAATTTGGAATAAAAAAAAAATGTAAGACAAAAATCTAAAGTTTAGGCTGTCAAATAGGATGTGCCTATTTTTATCCTTTTCTTTTAAATATTTTAATCAATATAGTTTTTATATAGAAAATGTTAGGCTTCATCATTGAACATATTGAGGTGAATAAAGTTATCTATCTAAAGAGTTCTCTATATTTTTTAACAGATTTTCATAGTTGAATTGCATTAGTTATTGAAATTTATAAACATTTATTTACATGTTTATTTTATAAACGGATTTTATAAACAGATTTGTATGTTTATTTACATGCTTTGAGATTTGCTTAATAGTTATTTGTGCTAAATGGCTAAGGGATTAGGTATGATATTTGCCGACATCGTTTTGAGATGGAGTATAAACTTGTAAATTATATCAAATCATAAGGATGATATTCACCAAAAACTTTCAGAGGGGAAAAATATATAGTGACTTGACTAATTTACCATTTTCAAAAAACGTGAGTGAATTTCATGCATTTATTTAACGGTGGAATTAACGGAATGTGACGGAAAGGACCACTTTCATATGAAAGGTTTGAAATGAAGGTACAAATGTCAAATTTGAAATGATATGAACTATTTTAGCAATGAATACAAACGATAGGGACATTTTTTATTATTTATCCACGCTATAATCAACTAATGGAATATGACATGTAATGACGAAAATCCGACATGGCACGTAATGGATGTGAAATCGAGCCAAAGGTGCAAAAAGGTCCAATGTATTGATAACATGCTTTTCAATCAACCGTTCCAAATTGAAACCCAAATTCCCCCCCCCGCAAAAAGGTCCTATGTATTGATAACATGCTTTTCAATAAACTGTTCCAAATTGAAACCCAAATTCACCCCCAAATCAATGAAGAACCCTAAAATTCGCCACCAAAATCCCAGCAGAAAATCTTGATGTTCGGAAACTATACACACACACAGACAATTGACTCAACGAGAGGCTGATTAGCTGGTAGTATGGTTTCTTTATACGCGAGAAGAATGGGTAAATAAGGAGCTCGGCATTTCGAATGAAATGGAAAGTGGAATCTGATGCTCCATTCGGCCCCCAGAGCAAAGGAAAAATGGAATTTTGAAAGAAATGAAAAGTGGAAAAGTAAACTCCACTTGGGACTTTGACTAAAAAGAGAGGTTGATTAGTTGGGTGAAATTTTTCTTTTTTTTGCATGTTTTCACAACAATATTCTGGTCTCTTGTCAAAAGCAAATAATTTTTTTGGTTAGGTGACTGGTTTATTGCGAGAACCTCTGTTTTTCACTTTCATGCTGCATCCATGAGTCTGGAATAACTTATTGAAGTTTATGAGCGTAAGAAAACTGCTTGGTATCAACTTGTGGTCTACTCCAATTCGAGAATGAATGCAAACAAAAGTGTCTTCATTATTGGTGCCACCAACAGGCCTAATATAATCAATCATGCGCTTTTTCGTCATGGACGTCTCGATCAATTGATTTACATCTGTAAATAAGTAAAATTGTCTTAAAGATTGGAACCACCATATTAACATTTTTCCCTGTATTGTAGTAGGAAAATTGATGGCTTGTTTTCTGATTGTATTGAAGCTATAAATGAATGGAATGGAATTTAATCCTTCATGTGTTTTAAGGATTAGTTTTAAATATTAATCTTTTCGTGTTTTTTATATGACACTTGCTGGTTGATGAGCATCAACTATCAGGATGCATCCTGATTCATGCATTAGAACTCTGATGCATTGCGTCAAATTGCATTTAGCCTGTGCAATTCGATGTTTAAAAACTGATGCAAATTACAACACCAACTAATTTTTTGCAAATAACATCAAAAAAGCTTCCATTCATTCCATTAAGAAAGCACAGTATACTAATTTAAGTAGCTCTATACAACACTAACTAGTTTGCTGCAAAATATGGCATAACTTTTAAAGTAAAGGACTAAAAACGATATGTGTTTTACTAAGTAGCTGCATGGGTCTTTTTCGTTGGAGGTGCAAATGGCATCGAGCCTCTTACCACTCTTCTGTTCTTTTCTCTAGCTGCCCTTTTCCGTATATTTTCTTGAATTTCAATATGTTGCAAATCTTCCACTACAATTTGGAGTGGGATATTTTCAGTTGGGATTTGCACAAATGCTTCAGTTGCCACGCCTTTCTCAGCCCTTGAAGAACCTGGCTCAGTAAGTGAAGGGGCACTCGAGTCATATTGTACAACATTTCTCGAACCTAATCCAAGCATTGGCATAAACTGGAACTCAAATGGTGGAGGTGGCTGAACTTCATTTCTCGAACTCTTGTCTGATCTCCTAGGCATTAGCTTTGCCTATGACAAAATGGAAAGAGCAAAAATCGGGCAATAATCAGTTTGGATGCATATTAAACACAAGCCAATACTTGTACGCTCTACATCATAAGCAAGCAAATCCTAAAATAAGTAGATGGGATAAATAATTATAATCATTTTAAGAAAAATATGAAATCTTTAAAATTAGAACTATTTAAAAGAAAACAAACCTCTTGTGGTGCATCAAACCTTTGGTGGTATCATTTGTTTGTTCCGTTGGTCCACAGCACTACAAGTCATAAGTACAGTTCCCCCATTTTTCATTTTTGCCTTTGAGCCTGAATGGGTGATGACATCTATTCACTAAGAATGTAAACCGCAAGTACACGGGTCGTATTCAAGTAATAAAGTGGACTCTTTAAGTTCGAGTTGTCGATCCCTCGAGAAATGTTTACTTTCGATTACACAAATTTAATTGATTTAATTTTAATAATAAAAACAAACACACAATAAAATTTGATTTTGAAAAATAAGAAAAAATAACTAAAAATCTGAAAAATAAGAAAAAATAAACGCTTGGAAATTTTAAAGGAAAAATGTGGTTGAGATTCTTTTTTCATTAAATCTTTGTGGAAATAGTTCATTGGATCACCTATGATCAGGGGTAATCTCTATCCTCTACATAAACTTAGGATTTCTATTATTTGATCTAAAATGCATAATATTCTTCCGAACAATATACAAATCACTGAACATAATCATTCATTGGTCACAAATGAAAAAGCAATAATAATAATAATAGTAAAAACACATGAAAATAAATAACTTAACATTAAAGAGCAAATATTAAAATTAATTAAAAGCTAGATTAAGTTAATACCATAAATCTCAATACAAATATTTAGCCCATCTTAAATATATAACAAAAATGAGGATATTTTACATAATACATTGCAAATAGAAGATAATAATGAAGAAAATACAATTTCAGAATACAGCCCCTTTTGGTTAGATTTGTGAAGATAATGACTAACTCTTGATTTCTCCAAAATTTCTAACTCCTTGATTGATTTTCCTTGGCTCTATGACTTCCCCCAAAATACAATAAAACATAAAAGAAGAAGAAGAAGAAAAATAAAAAGGGATGAAAGAGGAAGCCCAGCAAAAAGCTGCAGCCGAAAGAAGCCGAATGAAAATCCCAGTTGCTGTCTTTTTTATTCAACTAAAACCTTATTCAGAAAATTGCAACACAAGTTCCTAGAATTTCGGACAAAAGGCAAAAAGGTCCCCAACTTCTTTTCTAATTAAAGGCGGCGCCGAGGCTCTGTCCAAAACTAAGAAATAGTTTCCTTTTGCAGCCAAATCCCTTAATAATTGTGCGTCAGGTCCCTCAACTTTGAACTTGTACAATTTGGTCTTCGGATTTTGACTTTTCACTACAAAAAAAAGGGCTCCACCGACCAAAGGTTTAGCGACCAATAAAACATGGTTGCTATAAAACGCGTTCAATGACCAACTAATGGTGGGTATAGGTTTTGGTCTAATAAAATTGGACAAATTTTATTATGTTCTATTACGACCAAATTATGGTAGCTGTTTCAGAGAATTAGAGGCCATACATTTGATTGGTTGGTAAAGGTAGTACAGAAAAAGAACAAAAAATTTTCCGCATATGATACCTACTCTAGCGACCACTGAATGTTCCTGGCTTCCAGTCTTCTGCAACCATCTATGTCATGGTCGTTACAATATTTGGCACAATTTTATCCCGCTTTTTTTTCTATTTGGTTTTTGCATGTTTTATTGACCAAAGGCGATGATTGCTAACACTACACCACAAAAGCGACCATTGAATGGTCCCAGATCCTAGTCTTCTGCAACCATTGATGTCATGATCACTAAAATATTTGGCGCAATTTTATCCCACCTTTTTCCTTTTGGTCTTTGCATGTTTTAACAACCAAAGGCGATGGTGGCTGATATTACACCACAAAAACGACCACTGAATGGTTCCAACTCCTAGTCTTCTGCAATCATCGATGTCATGGTCGCTAAAATATTTGGCGCAATTTTATCCCGCTTTTTTTTCATTTGATTTTTGCATGATTTAGCGACCAAATGAGATGGTTGCTGACACTACACTACAAAAGCGACCACTGAATGGTCTCTGAATCCCAGTCTTCTGCAACCAATCATATCATGGTCGCTAGAACATTTGGCGCAATAAAATCTCGCTCCTTTTCATTTGGTTTTTTGCATTTTTAGCAACCAAAGGCGATGATTGTTGAATACTACACCATAATAGTGACCATGGTATGGTTCCTGGTACTATTATTCTGCAACCACTCATACCTTGGTCGCTAAAATAGTTGGCACAATTTTATACCGCTCTCTTTTCATTGGTTCTGGCATTTGGTAGCGATCCCTAATGATGGTTGCTGAATATTGCACCACTCCAACGACCAGTTAGTGGTCCCTGATCCCAATCGTTTGCAACCACTCCTGTCTTGGTAGCTAATATTCCTGCTTTTTTCATTGGTTTTGAAATGGTCGCTAAGCCCAGATCTCTTCAACCATTGATGTCGTAGTCGCTAAACCATTTGACACAATAAAATCCATCTTTTTCTTTCAATTAATTTTGATATTTTCTAGTGATCAATTGATATAGATCGAATCTACAGATATAAGATACTAACAACTCAAATGGATTGAACTCAAAAAATAAACGTTTTCTTATTTCATAAACAGCCAAAAAATCCTAGGAGACGTTTCTGGGTCTTAAATATGAAAAGAACAAATAACTTATTGGGCAGTAGTCCCTTAATGGGCAAGGCTACAAAGCGAGAATAATAAACTAAGAAACTTTAAATGCCGTTTTGACCCAGTAAACGAATTCAAATGGCAATTATACATTACAAAGCTGTGAGTTCATCCAGAATCGTCGCGAGCTTTTCGGAATAGGGTTATGGGCCCAAAACGGACATTGTATGTAAAAGTTACACCAATTTCTTGGAACGCCAACAATCCAAGCGTTCCATATACGCAAGTATCTATTCCTCCACACGAACTTCATCACCAATACTATTTGTTTTCTTTGTGGTGAATCTAATAGGGTTGGTTTTATATGCCACAACCTGATTGACCCCGACCACTCTACGATTGATATCTACTCGACCAAATTACATTATTAACGAAAATGGACAGGATCACAATACAAGGAGTCAAACGATGGAATTTAGTCCAAACTAGTCGAACATCATGGCAAAGATCTTAATTTCGCTTATTAGGTTGTTCACACTTAAAATAGACCCATTTTTTCATGAATTTTTACGTTGCAATAAAATCTAATTCCAAAATTAATCAACCCAATAAAATACCAATAAAAAGCTATACTCTCCTTGCATATTTATTTCATATTTGAATTAATTCAACTATACATTTTATCAATTATAATTTTAATTTAGAGATTAAAATATATAGAGAATTGATTTTAATTCCAAAATCATAATTTTAATCTCCATTCAACATAGCCTAAAAACATAGCCCAATTACAATTGATTTTCAAAATAAATAAATCTATTAACTATCCATGTAAAAGGCAGAGGAAACGCCATAACCCACGTCCAGAATTCAACCCTTCTCCACGTCTTCTTCTTCGAGCCACTGCCGCTGCCATTGCATCTTAGCAATACACAATTACCTGGTTCAGTGTTTGACACAAGCTGCCGCTGCCATTGCATCTTCAGTATCACCACTTCTCTGTATACATATAGTCGGGTTCTTTCGCTTGTTGTTTTTCAATCATGATTACTGGTTCTCTCTATACATATAGTCGGCAATATCTTAGCCCTATTTCTTGATTGTGTATTTATAATTTTTCATTCAAAATATCTGGTATCACTAGTTGTTTTACATATAGTCAGCCAATATCCAGTATCACTCGTTGTTTTACATTGATTGTAAATTTGAATGAGGCTGAAAGATTCATAAATTTTTTTTTCGAAATCAGCTTTAGGAGATTAAAAATCTGATTTGGACTGGGACAAGTTTCTGAGAATTAAAATTACCATGGGTGATATTTACTAGATATGATTAGGGACATTTACTGGACTTGCTCATTTTGTTGTTTTTTCACAGTTTTGATTTGCATTATATTTATTTTAAATACAAATGAGAATGTTCCAGATAGTCATGACCTTGATTTTGTATAGATAGCAAGCACAACTCAATGCCTTTTTACATTAGAGCAGTTGGTGCAGATGGAATGTGGTTTGGGACCTGATTCTTTGTAGCATTCTGTGATGAACAGGCCATTATTTATTGTGCCATGA